GCCTCAGTGTCCTCATCTGTGAAACTGGGAGGTTGGACTAGGAGTCATTCTCTATGTATGGTCCCCAGACCAGGAGCATCAGTATCACCTGGGAATATGCTACAAATGCAGGTTCCCAGGCCCCACCCTAAACCTACTGAATCAGAAACTGTGGGACTGGGGCGCAGCAGTCTGCATTTAATAAAGCCTCCAGGTGATCCTGATGCACACTAGAATTTAAGAACCACAGTCAGGTAATGTTTAAAAATGAGGCTGCAAACTCAAATGCACAAAGGGCCAGAGACGGAAAATCAAGGACCCAAGTAAGGTGAAATACCCTGCACGGCAGCAGGGTGAGGGGAGTGGCAGAGACAGCATGCCCAGGCTGACGGGGCTGGCAGCCACTCAGCTACCACTAGCTGATGCCAAGTGTGAGTCCACATCGGGCTGGTATAGTCAGAGCTTCTGATTTTACAAGAGAAACACAAAATCGTGATTTTAGGAGAAATCTTTAAATGTTTAAATGTCAACTTAATCTTTCTTAACATAGTGAGGGCCAAGGAGATTATACGTAGGAGCCAAACTCTGTTGTGCACTGCCATTTTGCTGCCTCTGTTCTGATTTTTTTTCCTTCAACCTCCATCACAATAAACTCCACCCACTGGCTCTTGCCTTTCTCCAGACCCTGAACTCCTAACCTCCTTTCCCCATTCAACAGGCTCCTATTCATCCGTCAACACCCAACTCCAGGGTCACTTCCACTGTGAATTTATTCTCAACTCTTTGCCCCACTTTCCACCCCTCACTAAGAAAACAGAGAGGAATCAAACAGGAAGCCAAAGAGTTGACACACAGAAGGTGACACTGAGGAGGAAGACATGGAGAAATTACAAAACAGCCTTTCCCACAGAGGAGGAATTGGGACCTCTTGGCAGTTACCCTCCTACTGCTTGAAAAATTACTCAAAGACACTGATCCCATTTGACCAGAATCTAATAAAATGAAGTTTTAGAAGGGGAAATATGAAGACACACAAAAACAGAAGTAAAGGCTGGATTAAAAAACAATTGGTACAAAAATATCTGGGACTTTTTGCTGACTGAGAGTTCATTGTGTCAATCATGTGGTAAAACAATCATCAAAGAGGCAAACACCTTCATGGGTCTTATTATGAGAAATAAATGTCTGGACAGCCCTGGTCTGCCTTGAACTGCTCAGACCTTCCTAGAGGATTCTGACTGGTTCTGAATATTAACCTCTGCAGGTCAGAGAAGAACTGAAGCATGATCCAGGGAGGGTGACTGAGATGGGGACAGAACACAAAGCCAAATCCCAGGGGGACAACAGAAGGAACGTGGGACATCTGCCCACAGGCAGGAAGGACCGATGGATGGTCACAATTTCTGCCTTCAAGCAACTGACAGGTTTCCACATGGGTTTGATCTGTTTGGCCCTTTAGGGAAGATGAGGACCTGTGAGTGAAAACACTATGAGATTCCATTTCAGCATTTGAGAGAATTTTCTATTGATCATGGATGTCCCCACATGGAATGAGCTATTCCGAGAGGTAGGAGCGTTCTTTATTGAGGGACCTCTAGCAGAGGGCGTACAGCTGCTGTAGATGATGATAAAAGGGCTGGAAAAGAGGGTCCAGTGGCCATCTCCTGTTTTATTTCTCCCTTATTCTTATCCTACTTTTCTTGGGGAACCACCACTCACCCATTCTCAGTCCCACGTGTTAGGTGGAATTGAGTGCCCATTTGGCTTCAGGGGAGGATGTTTCCTGGCTTGGTGAGGCAGAGCCCTGCAGCACCCCAGCCACAGGTGCAGTCCCAGGTTTGCTCATGTGACCCGTGATGGACCAATCAGAGACCCAAAAAACCCATTCTGGGAAAAGGGACTTAAAGAAGAGTGGATGTAAGCCTGGAGATGCCAGGGGCCCTCTAGTCATCACATGGAGAAAGGCTGACTATGAAAGAGCCCCTAGCCTCCCTCACAAGAAAGGGAAACAGAGAAAACTGGAGTAGAGAGAGTTCTAATAACATCCTTTGTTCCCCCGAAGCCTCCCAAGCCCGAAGCCAGGCTAAAGCAGGGGAGGCTGCATTTCTGCTGTCTGCCATCATAAGAGTCCTAATCACTAAAGATAGCCTCCTGGATCATTCAGTTTAATTTTACTATGGCTGATCCACATCTAACACTTAAAGCAAGGGTCACATGCATGGGCTTCTAGAATTTGAAGTCCTGCCTCTAATCATAAGAACAGACTCCACTGCAAAAGTGGAAATGGAGAATCATGAAAAGGTAAGTTATTAAGTCAAACTGGCTCCCACATCAGTGAGGAGCTGGCAGGCAAGGCAGCTACCCAGGCCAAAGCCAGAAAATAGGCACAGGACAGACACATGAGCTAGAAGCCACACACATCTCCTGCGGCCTCACTGCCAGAGTGTGGTTTGGTAGAGCCCTAGGATCATAGCTCTGAATGGGGAGTTGTTTCTGTTCCTAGTGATCACTGGCAAACTACCATTTAGTAAGCACCTACTGGATGCCAGGCCTGGGCTGGACACTTGGCCCACCTCTACCCATCGAAGCAGCCCCTCATGAAGCTGGCATTGTTACCATCTCCATTTCCCAGATGAGAAAACTGAGACTCAAGAGAGATTTTCCCAGGGTGGTCAGTGATAGGCAGTTCTGAGACAAACTCCAAAAGCCCAGCCACGCTGTTTTCTGCTGGTAATGACAAGGGGCCCAAAGCCACCAAGTCTGGGTTCTCCTCAAAGCCTCCCAGCACTTTACCTCCTTACCTGTAAAATGGGGTGAGGATCCCCAGTCTGACCAGACAGCAGCCTCCACAGTTGCTTTGAGGTCTGTGGGAACTATTATTATGTAAAGAGTGCCGGCCTCCGTTCCGAAATTAGGTATAATTGATGTGACACAAAGGAGCCGTGCTGTGCAAAGTCAGCCAGCCAGGCTCTGTCCGCGTTTCTCTCCAAAGCCCTTGTGGGCCGGGTTGTTTCCTTTGTTCCAGAGGAACAGGCCTGGTAACAAGGCAGCCGGGAGCTCAGCTGTAGACATTTTTTTCATTATTTTCCACCCTGTTAACCTCCATCACAAGTCAGGCTGCTGTCAGCCCAAATGAGAACTGAAAAGATTTATCTCACTTGTCCCAGGGCTCAGCTCAGGAAAAAGACCCTTCATTTCCTAAAGGCCTTGATGACCCTTTCCCTGTGAGTCACTCCCACCCAGAAAAAAAGATGTGACAGCAGCAGCAGGCGGGGGCTGGGAATTAGACCAACAGTCCAAACTTGAAGACGTCTGGATCACTTCAGCTTGGCTTTGCAAAGCACTGTGTAATTTTTTTTTCTTTCCACTGTATTTACCTTCCTAATTATGTTTGCTTATGCAAATATGAAACTTAGCCCACATTTCATAAACACGACCCCAGGAGGAGACCAGAAGCATATTGTGTGGCAGGAGGAAATTAGCCTGCGATTACAATTTTGCTATAGAAGTAATCCTCAAAGTGGACAATCCAAACACAGACCATGGAAAGATGATTATATTTTCAATCAACTTGTCCCCTTCTTTGTGCTTCTAGCAATCTCAGGTCACCAAACCCCTAAAACTGCCACCTGGCAAGAAGAGATGAGCTAGATTCTTTTGGTAATAATAGTCTCTTATATTCACATAATAATAGCTTTCATGAACACTTACTAAGTGCCAGGTGCTGGTCTCCACACTGTACACAGGAACAACAAGCCTGTTAATCCTCCCATCTGTCTACGGGTATTTATCTCCATCCCCATTTCACAAATGAGGAAACTGAGGCACAGAGAGTTGAAATAACAAGCCCAAAGATACACAGCTAATAAATGATGGAACCAGGATTATGAACCCAAGAATTAAGAATTCTAGACCCAGAGGCCACATCCCAAACCACTTTGCAATAATGCTACTCTCCCCACACACCATTTGTTTAACCCTCAGCCTCCTGGGAAGTGGCTGATCTTAACTCTTCTGGATAGACAAGAGGATGAGGTTCCCAGAGGCTAAATGACTTGCCCATTTTCCAGACAAGGAAACTGAAATTCACAGAAGTGAGTTCAGGTCTATAAACATTTGTACAGTACCTTACACATGCCAGGCACTGTACAAGGAAACTGGGATGCAGAAACCTCAGTGCTCCCTCCACACTCAGCTTCTGGATGTTTATATGGGTAAAATCTTTCTGAGGCAATAAGGTACACTGTGAAAAGCTTTAAAAATGAGCATACTTTTGACTTTAAAATTCCCACTGCAGAAACTGATCCTAAGAAAGTAACAGTGAATGTGACAAAAAAGCTCACAGCAGTGTCATTTATAAGAGTAAAATAACAGAAATGAACTAAGTGCTCAACAATAAGACATTAAATAAATTAGGGTATACCTATATAATGAGATACTATGTAATCATTCAAAATGTTATGGAAATGTGCTTTATTGATATGGGAAAATATAATACAGTGTTATGTAATTTGTTAGGTGACATAAGCAGGTAGTAAAATCATATATGCATTATGATCTGATTTGGAAAAAATGCATATGTACATTAGAAAATACATGAATTTAAGGATTCTCAGAAAATGTAGTTGCATTTGTACATATAGAGAAATTCCTAGGATATCAGAGTGATTATCTCCAAACAATGGCATTTCAAGCCATTTTAATTTTTATGAGTGTGCTCATCTCCATTTTTAAAAATTTTCTACACTGAACATGTACTACTTACCTACCCATGCAAAGGTTTTTATTTTTGTGACAGTGGTTGCTGAAGTGGCTAAGACCACACATTTTTTGAAAGGCACATCTAGGGTTCAAACTTGAGCTGGGGTCCCAAGTCTAGCCCTCAGCCACTTGCATTCTTCAATGCACCTGCCCTTCTGGTCCCTTGTCTCCAAACCACATCCCACCCTGGCTGGTATAGTGTTACCATGGGCCAGCTTGGGGCAAAGACCTGGGACACATGGGGGAGCCCACTTGCCCACCTTTTTGAAGAGTCTGATGACATCCTCACTGATCTGGGAGAGGCGGACGATGACATTGTTCATGAAGATGTCATTGAGAGTGGCATGGTCTCGGCTCTCCCGCCGGGTCTGATGCAGAACCAGATACCAACAGTTCACAGGTGAGAGGAGGTACTGGTCCTTCCTGTGGAAACCAAGAAAGCTCAGACTGGCTACATTGGAATGTCATCAAACAATGGTTTACACTGCCACCCACCTCAGCTCTTTTGACCCCCACATTGCCCCTTCAAGGTCGGTCTTGTTGTTACATGTTATACAGCTGGGGAAACAGGCTACAACAGCTGAAGTGATCCTCCAAGGTCACAAAGCAGCACTGGGGCCAGAACCCAGGTCTTTGATGCCTATGCAGTTCTACCCTCCCACTAAATGTGGTGCTTGTTCCAGGTACCTCTACCTTCTGGGAAGAAGCTACCTCCACTGGAGCTAAGAAATATTAAACCAATTGTGCTTTAAATATTATACTTGTATGATTGCTAGAACTATGCAATAGAAAGAACAAAAAGCAGATACTTCCACTCCCCATCCTACCTCCCTCAACCCTTGTAATTTTCTTGGGCTCTTAACTTCTTTATTCTTCCCTAGGGATTGGCTTCTGTCTCTTGGCCTCTGTCTCTTGGAAATACATGCCTTTGCCCCTCCATGGAGTTATAGGGAAAGGGACTAGGAGGGTTCAGATTCTGTATTCAGGAGGAAAAGTTAAGGAAAATACAAATAACTGCAAGACAAAAAACCCTTTGTCCTGCAATGACTGATAGGTTTTTAGCACTCTCTAGCTGGGTGTGATGCTAAAGGAGGGGTTCTCAGAGTGTGCTCCAAGACCAGCAGCAAGAGACTGACCTGGGGACTGGTTAGAAATGTGGACTCTCTGGTCCCGCTCCAGACCTGCTGAGTCACACACTCTGGGGGTGCCCCCCCACAACGCCCCCCCCCACAATCTGGGCTTTAACAAGCCCTCCAGGGGATTCAGATACTCACTCAAGTCTGAGAACCACAGATCCTTATACTATTGTTTCCCAAAGATTGGGATGCTAATAAGATCGGAGAAAATCTGTCTCTTGGCTCTGCATATGGTCCTCAACTTACTATGGGGCTACATCCCAATAAACCCATTGCAATGTGAAAATATCCTAAGTTGAAAATGCATTTAATAAGCCCAATCTACGGCACATCATAGTTTAGCCTACTCTACCTCAAACGTGCTCAGAACACATTAGCCTGAGGATGGGCAAAATCATTGCACGCAAAGCCTATTTTCTAATAAAGTGTTGAATGTACCATGTAACTAGTTGAATGCTATCCTGAAAGTGAAAAACAGAATGGTTTTATGTGTACTTGAAATATGGTTTATACGGAATGTGTACCACTTTCACAACACTATAAAGTCTCAAAATTAGAAGTCAACCCATGTTTAAGTTGTGGACCATAGGTATTTGCCAGAGACCCCTCAGGGAGCCTCAGGTAAAGGCAGATACACCCTGTTCTCCAGGAAGGAAGAGAAAGGGCAATTCAAAACAAAAACCAAACCAATAACCCTTTCCTGCCACACAGGGCACCTGTGCTGGAGCTCTTGTCCTCCAACGCAGTCTCTCCCTGACTCCTTTCCAGTGTGGACAGAGATGTTGGAAAGGCAGGATGTGAGCAGAAAGGCCCTTCCACCACCTGAGGGTGGCAGCTCCAGGGTCCCCTCAGGCCTGCCTTGTCCCACTCTGTCCTGAGTGTGGACCACCTCCAGGAGCTGGCCAAGGTTCTGTTCTCAGGAAACACAGTCTCCTACTATTAGCATTTTTGAGAAAGGTAATTGCTATGGTTTGGCTGTGTCCCCACCCAAATCTCAGCTTGGACTGTATCTTCCAGAATTCCCACGTGTTATAGGAATGGTCTTGGGGGCCAGTCTTTCCCATGCTACTCTCGTGATAGTGAATAAATTTTGTGAGATCTGATGGGTTTATTGGGGATTTCCACTTTTGCTTCCTCCTCCTTTTCTCTTGCCACCACCATGTAAGAAGCGCCTTTTGCCTCTGCCATGATTCTGAGGCCTCCCCAGCCATGTGGAACTGTGAGTCCAATTAAACCTCTTTTTCTTCCCAGTCTCGGGTATGTCTTTATCAGCAGCATGAAAATGGACTAATACAGCAATTCTGCCAACTCCTACTATGACCACATCCACCTCTCCAAAGTGAAGTAGAAGAGCCTCTGAACTGCTCTCCCCATCCCACCCCCACCACCCCACCTCTCTCTATCTCCTGGGGCTTAGGAAGGTAGGTGAGGCAGGGGTACCTTGACTTCAAGGAATTTTTCTTTTTCTCATCAAATGTGCTAAAAATCTATCTAGGCAGCAGAAATTTGAGAGAAGGAATTTAGGTTCAGATAGAGGATGGGAACTATCTAAGGAAAAGGAAGGACGACGAAGCATTTAGGATACTGCTATGAAACAAACAGATTTCTCCTTGGCTTATAGCCTAGAGAAAGAGCCAGGACGCTACAATTCGACCCCAGCTAGAATCCCTCAGAATCTACTGTGTCAGGTCTTGGTGGGCTCTGGGCACACAAAGGTGGCTATGATGCACACCCTGCCTTGGAGGGGGCTCACTGCTGAGTGGCTGTGTCAGAAAAAAAGATTTAGAGTGGAAGGTGGTTCTAGTCTATAACAGAGACACACAGAGCATCAGTTCTGCTGGGGAAGCTGCAGAAGGCATTGTTCTCTCCAGTGCACTCTGGGTACCAGGCACGTGATCCCTTCTATTCCCACTGGGGCCTTCGTGCTCTTCCCTCTACCTGGAATACCACAGTCCCTGCTCTTCTCATGAATGCCTCTTTCTATTACTGCAGGTTCCGCTTAGGCGATACTTCCCTAGAGAGCACTTCCCTGACCACACACTAAGGCAGTGGTTCTCACTGTGGCCCCTGAACCAGCAGCTGCAGCATCACTTAGGAACTTGAAAATATAAGTTCTCAGGGCAGCCCCAGACCACCTGTACTCAGAAGCCCTGGAGCTGCATCCAGCATCTGTGTTTTAACAAGCCCTTGAGGTGATTTGGATGCATACTTAAGTTAGAGACCTTCTACCTTAAGGAGTTTCCATCCTTCCCCTTCACCCTACTGTGAGCTCTTGAGAGCAGGGACCGTTTCTGTTGCAGTCATCACATCCAGCACCCAGCAACCTGCCTGCCACATAGCAGATGCATGGAAGAGAGACCCCTGAAAAAAGGTTGCATTTGTGATGCTGGGTCTTGAAGGATGAGTAGGAGTTTTCCAAATGGTCAGAAGTCAGAGAGAGGATGAAATTGTGGGTAGAAGGAATAGTGGGCACAAATATAGTGAAGTAGCTCAGGAGAGATGGAATTCTGAGTGTGTTAGTGGAGAACTGGAGGACATGAGGCTGGGGATACAGATTAAAGGCCCAATTTGGGGCACACTGCCAGGCTAAGTGGGTGGGACTCCTTATCTTCTAGATCACATAGTTCTCAATCTGTCCTGCACACTAGAATCACCTGGGGAGCTTAAAAAAATCACCAAGACCCAGGCCCCATCCAAGACAAAATCAGAATCTCTGAGGGTAGAGCATGGTACTCACATTGTCATACTCTCTAGAGGATTCTAATGTGCAGCCAGAATCAAGAATGCCTGCTTTAGGGATGCAGGTGCAGTGGCTCATGCCTGCAGTCCCAGGGCTTTGGGAGGCAGAGGCAAGAGGATCACTTGAGCCCAGGAGTTCAAGACTAGCCTGGGCAACATAGCCAGACTCCATCTCTATAAAAAATTTAAAAATTAGCCAGGTGTAGTGGCACGCACCCACAGTTCTAGTTACTTGGGAGACTGAAGTGGGAGGATCACTGGAGCCCAGGAGGTTGAAGCTACAGTGATCATGCCACGGCACTCCAGCCTGGGAAATAGGCAAGAGCCTGTTTCTAAAATAAATAAATCAGAATGTCTGCTATGGGCAGTGGAGAGTCATGGAAGTTATTTCAGCAGAGGTAGGATATAACCAACATGTGTTTTGGCAAGATCATTGAGGGCAGATTGGAGGATGAAGGGATGGATGAGTAGGTGGGTGGGTGGATGAGCAGGGATATGGGGCTATTGGCAAGAGGACCAGGCAGGAACTCCTGGTTCAAAAGAGATATGGTGAGGCCTGGGTATGGCCATGCAGCCAGAGAAAACTGGACTTGAGAGACTTCTCAACAGGAGAGCAGATCCTCTTGGAGACTTCCTGGAAACAGCAGAGAGAGGACAAAGTAGCAGATGGTGATTCTGAGGCTGAGATCTCAGTCAACTGGGTAGATGCTGATGACATGAACTGAGATAAGAACTGCAAGGGGAGCAGTAGATTTGGGCAGAAAATGCATTGCTTATCTCATTTTCACTGCTTCCTAGGTGGTGATGGAAATGGAAAGATTAAGGAGAGATGAGATAATTGAGCTGTTACCTAAATTACTTCAGGGGATTAGCTGAACCTGGGAGGCAAGAAGTGAACAGCACCAGGGAATTAAATGTGCAAAATTATGGAAGCCACAGCCAGAAGGTGAGTTTCGGAGGGAAGGAAAAAGGTAAGTTATGTGGAAATGATGGGGAAGTGCTGGGATGATTTGGGGACCATTAACTAGGTCATCTAGCCAGAGAGATGAGATGAGAAGAAGGGCAGAAAGGACAGTGCTGTCCTTATGAGAAGCTGCAAGCCAGGAGGCAGTGCAGCGTAAGACAGAACTGCAGGAGGCAGAACGAGCCAAGACAAGGAGGATGTTATCCAAAAGCAGCTGAAGCCGAAGACTCGTTAAGCTGAAGTGAGCAGCCGCTGTGAAGATTCCTTCCAGCTCTTGTTCACTCCTTGTGTTTGTGTGTCTGTGCTGGGCAGGACTAGGTGCTGTGAGTGCAGCAGCAACCAAAGCTGCAAGACTGCCCTGCACGTCTTCCGCTTAAAAGGAGATTCACAAAGAACAGAAAGTGATGAGACAGCCTCATCAATGCAGTCATGAGAAGGAGGCTATGGAGCAGCAGGGGGCCTCCTTCCCTAGATCTGGTGGTAGAGTGGTCATGGATGACGTCCTGGAGGAAACAGTGTCTAGACTGAGAACTAAAGGCTGGGCTGGAGTTTCACAAGGAGGAGCCTTCAAAGTGGAGAAATGT